GATGCAACATCTAAGCTTAATTTAGTATCTGTACATTCAAAAGTACAAGGAGAAAATATTGCATGATTTTTAAGAACAAGATATTATGTATACAAATTCTTAATATAGAAAAATATTTGTAATATTCTATACAGCCTGCCTTGGAAAAGTTTAGTCTGCATAATCAGTCGATCAAAAAGTTAATTTTAGATTCATATTCACTTTTAAAAAGGATTTTTCTCATGGTAGATTACTTGGAAATTGAATTTAAATGAAATTTCCTAATATAGGGATAGATTAGTACATCACGATTGAAAATCAGATCGATATGATTAAATCACAAAATGTAGAATAATATTTATTAAGAATGATCAATGACAAGAACCCCACCTCAGCCACAATTACCAGCCCAATCCAACAAATTTACCTAATCAAAGAAAATATCGAAAACAAAATAACCTAAAAGAAATCCAACCAAAAGAGAAATACAAATCCACCACCAAGTCCTATCCATATCAACAATAATTCTTCCCTTCAAAATATTCTTGTAATATAACCGTTCCTGCAAGTTTGTAGCTTGTTGATTTAGATTTTGGATCTCTAAGAAATCCAGACCTCACAATAATTCTTCTTCATGATCTCTTAGAAGTAAAATTATATTATCCCTATCTTCTAATTCTTTATGAAGTTCTTGTGAAATTTGATGAACTTCAAGTAATTCATCAGCAAGGAGCCTCTTTTGCTCTTTTAAGTGAAGGGAAAAGTGAAGACGAGCAAGCTATTCTTGAAGATTTTCTGTTTTCTTTCAGTATGAAAGGTTCTATTTCGTTCAAATTTCTTTTGAATAGCACTTTTTGAAGGCATTTTGGAATGATTTAATTTTAAAGGAAGAGAAATTTTGATAGAATTTATTTGATGTAGATCAATGTATGACAAGCAGTTTTTATATGACTAGAAGTCCCATAATTTCAAAGGTTATTAAATTTTAGTCCTATATAAGTTTATCATAAACTATAATTATAACTGTTGAAAGTCCTGAGGGGGATCCGATCTTAATATCTAGTCTAATTACCATGGAATACTACTATCAACATCTAAGTCTTTGAAGGGGGATCTGACTGTAAAGCTTAGTCTAATTATTGTGAACTACATATTTTTGTAAAATATGTAAAAATCTAGTAAAAATCTTAGAAATTAAAAGGAAATTTTGGGGACAAAATTATTTCTCACCACATTCGAAAATAAAGTGGAAGGAGAATTGTTACCGGCTAAAAATTTACTATTGAAAAGTTGATTTACAAAAAATTATTAAATGATCTACAGAAGTTACTGGAATAAATTTTATATCAATCACAAATTAGAAGATCTGCATAATTCCAGATTTTGATGATTCTTAGGATCCACAGAATTCTGGAAATTCGTAGGATTTTTAGGATTTACTGGATTCGTCAGATTATCATGATTTGTTAGATTTTCCTAATTTCCTGTATTTCCATTATTTTAATTATTATCATTATTCTTCTTATTTTTATTATTTTTATTATACTTATTATTATTGTTATAATTATTATTC